TTATTGTTTGGAATTTTTCCTTTTTTTTTTTTTTTTTTTTTGCAGTTCCTCCATTTTCTTCTGATCTATTCTTTTTTTGTATGAATAGAGAAGATGGCATAGGAATTCTTTTGGCATTTGTTTTCCCCTTTTCTTCTTCTCTAACTGCATACTGCAGTTTTTACTTGGCCATGTTTAGGGAATTTCATTTGTTCATTTAGTTTCTTCTTCACTATATGTAGGGTTCTTTCTTGCAGAACTGTAGGATTCTTTCTCGTGCCCTTTCTAGGCTTTTTCGTTTAGTGAATAACATTTGTTCTCTTCGGCAAGTTTGTAACATACGACAGAGAGATCTCAGATTCTCTTCTCCATTTTCCATAAGAGATTCCAATAGAGAGTTAAAAAGCCCAATAAAGAAATGAAAAGCCTAATAAATAACATAAAAAGCCCAATAAGGATAGCAGAAAGCCCAAATAAGAGAGCAGAAAACCCCAATAAATAGTGAAAAAGGCCAATAAAGAGCATCCTAAAATCCCTATTAAGTGAGCATTAAATAAAGCCCAATAAAGAGCATCCAAAAGGCCCAATAAAGAGCATCCAAAAGGCCCAATAAAGTGTAAAAAAGCCCACTAAAGAGCCGGCAATGCCAACTGCCATGGCAAGGAGCATGCTTCATCCCAACTAACCAAATAATCTAATATATATATATTATACAACTTAAAACTATATATATGATTGTATGGTGACTACAAAATCACATACAAATTATAGTGTCAAGAAAAACTATATGTATATTTATATTATTACGGAATGGATCCTTGCCGTCCAACCCAATAATAATAACTATAACCAAATTGATAATTATACTATTTACGGTTTAACCGTTATCTTAAAAAATAACACTGAGAATTATAAGTGATATCAACGAGTTTATTTAAATTTTGTTTATTTGTTTTAAGTTTAGTGAAATCTTTAGAGTTTATCCATGTGTAACTAGAACTTCGAGAGGTATTTTAATAAAATCTGGATACATTTAAAATTTGCTAATCAAATGCGAATAATAATAATAATAGTAGGCAAAAGCATGCTGTGAGCCTCAAGGGTTGGTCTCCATCGTGACACAACGGTCACTTCCAATACAAAGTACACCCACGTGGACTTTCTATATATAGTCCTTCTATATGAACCTAACCTTACACAGAATTAAAAAACGAAGAAGACCCATCAAGAAACAAGAACAAAGATCGAAACTTTTCCAAAAAAATCCAACAAAAATGGCTCCAACAATGGCGACCCAGTTCTCGGATCCAGCGAAAGTGACAGACTTTGTCGTGAAGAAGGGGAACGGAGTGAAGGGTCTGTCCGAAACCGGCATCAAGGCACTTCCTGATCAGTACATTCAGCCTTTGGAAGAGCGACTCATCAACCAGTTCGTCAAGTTGACGGACGAATCCATCCCCGTGATCGATATGTCGGATTCCGACCAGACAAACGTCGCGAAAGCCGTGTGCGATGCTGCAGAGAAATGGGGATTCTTTCAGGTGGTTAACCACGGAGTTCCTCTAGAGGTTCTGGAGAGTGTGAAAATGGCGACACACAGATTTTTCGGGTTGCCGGTGGAAGAGAAGAGGAAGTTCTTGGCGGAAAATTCGCCGTCCAGGACCGTACGTTTCGGGACGAGTTTCAGCCCGCATGCCGAGAAAGCTCTCGAGTGGAAAGATTACCTCAGTCTCTTCTTCGTCTCCGAAGCCGAGGCCTCCCAGTTCTGGCCCCACGTCTGCAGGTACGTACGTATTTTATTAATGTGAATCCCAATAACATGCATGATCACTATATATATATAATGTTGTGTGTGTGTGTGTGTATCAAAGGGATGAAGCGCTGGAGTACATGAACGAGACGAAGAATCTGGTGAGGAAGATTCTAGAGATGTTGGTGAAGAAACTGAACGTGAAAGAGATGGAGTCGTCGATGTTCATGGGATCGATACGTGTGAACCTTAACTATTACCCAATCTGTCCAAACCCTGACCTCACCGTCGGTGTCGGTCGCCATTCCGACGTCTCCTCCCTCACCATTCTCTTGCAGGACGATATCGGCGGCCTCCACGTCCGCTCCCTCGCAACTGGTACGTTATATTAGCGATAATCACCATGGATCGGATATCCAAATTCGTAACCGTATACGAATTTATAATTTCTACCCGTATATGATAATTTCTACTCGTATACAAATTTATAGAAAAAAAAATGTAAATTTATATACTTTTTCTGACCGACAGGAAACTGGGTACACGTGGCACCAATCCCGGGATCTCTGGTGATAAACATCGGAGACGCGATGCAGATAATGAGCAATGGCAGGTACAAGAGCGTGGAGCATCGAGTCCTCGCCAATGGCGGCAAGAACAGGATCTCTGTCCCGATCTTCGTCAACCCTAAGCCTAGCTCCATGATCGGACCTCTGTCGGAACTCATCTCCGGCGGCGGAGGAGAGGAACCGCTGTACAAGAATGTTCTCTACTCCGACTACGTTAGGCATTTCTTCAAGAAAGCTCATGACGGCAAGAAAACTGTCGACTTCGCCAAAATATGATTGGCCGTTTTTCCGTTGCTTCCCTCTCTCTCTCTCTCTAACTGTTGTTCTCATGGTTTTACTGTGGCCCATCTTCCTTTACTCTCTTGTTATTTTTCCCTGTGTATTGTGTGTGTGAATAAAACATGGAAGAGATGAGAAGTTCATGTCTTGTAATTGAAAGATCGGTGGTTTCTGTTCGGAATAAAGCAAGAAAAGTTCAAGAAGCTACTCATGTTTTCAAAGCGATCGATCTTGTGTTGAAAACCCATTAACGGATCATCATGATTCCTGGTCATCATCATCATCATCTTTGGCATATTCACCATAACCATTATCAATCATCACTGCTGCTTAACTGAATTTCTACCAGACATTTATACTCGATAATACCGCAGAGATCCATATTTTGAGCCATTTTCCTGCGAAAGAATCTCCGCTGATTCCCATCTGTTCTGCTCTAATGGCAAACCGTATAAAGTTTAGAACTTTCATGAATTTGGTGTTCAAAATTCAAGATTTTTCAGGTCAAGAACGCGAATCAGAGACACATTTGTTGCATGATTAACAGCAGTCTCTTTAGTTTACAAAAGCTCAAAATAACAAGTCGGATTTCAGTCCCAAAGGAAAGACTCTGTTAGATTCAGAAGGTTCGCTTCGTCGAAAAAAATTATCTTCGGTCTCTCTTCCTGCCTCGTTTCTCTCGTATCCAGCTGAAGTCGCAGAGAAATCGTTCATGGCGACGGAATCAATCTCTCTCAAGCATGTATTTTTCGCAAAAGTTACGAAAAACCCATCGCCATCATGCCGATTTCACCGGAGAAGAACAACAAGACCCTGTCGAACCCTTCGTTTCCGGTTTGGTGTAACCTGCTCGAAAACATCTGAATTTCAAGGTACAGAGCTTCAATTCGAACTCTCTCAGTCGAATTTCTCAACAGTTTTCGAGTAATCAACTCAAAAGTTACAATCATATGCTGTCGGCGATTGCTAATACGTACTAGATTCGTATAGGTTTTATGTTTTTGGAATATGGGCGGTGGTGCTATCACTGTTCTATTGTACGCTCTATCAATTGATTTGAAGATCATTGGTAAAGAATGAACACCGGGTATATGTGTGGATACTGGATACGACTTTCAACCATTCATCACTTTTTGTGGGTTCCGATTCATCTGTAGGAAAGCTAATGTGCTGTGAAATGTTCATGTCATGTAAGAATTTGTGAGTTTGGGTTCTGTTCCACTCTAATGGATAGAAAACTGCTGAATTTTTGGATTTCAGATTTCCGGAGATACGCAATGCCTTTGCGCCTCTTACCGGCCGAAGAAGCGAGAGTTTGTGGAGGAAATCCGTCTCTCAACGAGAGCGGATCTCGATCTTTGTATAAGGTTAAGCTGCAGACAAGTAATACATTTGGTTCGGGTTTGAGTGATGTGAACGCGAGGGTTCTTCTATGCCTGATAGACGAGGAGGGTGATTCAGTATTACAGACCATACCCGCAAATCTTTCAAGAAACGAATCCTTGGAATTGGATGATGCGAGGAACGGTGAGAGCCTTGCATTTCAGAGAGGCTCTGTTGATGAAATCGCATTTCAGGGACCGGAACTTGGCAAAATCAGGGCTCTTTGGATCAGTATCGAATCAGGTCAATATCTCTTTGATAAATCACTGAAAAACCCTGTGTTTGATTGGCACATAATCTATGGTTCCTTCAAGAACAAAGTGATCATAGGATTTGAGACTTGTAGGCACTCGGCTTTACTTCAGAATTTAGTAACGATTAATCTTGTGAGTTTTCCGCCTATAATGAAGCTTAAAGTTACCATTTTTTCCCTCATGTCTTCTTTGAATTTATCCGTTTCGAAGCTTAGGCCAATGGAGGCTAGGAGGAGTGAGCTTGTGGGTGGTTCATCCTCAGAGAGCTTTCAATGGAGAAGCCATTGCAGAAACGTTCAGTTATCGGCATGATTTTGAAGTGGATGAGATTTTGCTTGGAGAGAGCAGTGACCTATCAATGGTGGAACTCAGACCCTCCAGTGTAACTGAGCTCACTGGCTCCGACCCTCTTCAAGATCAAATCCCTTCATCATCATCAAATCTCGATCCCGACCTTAGCGAGCAAAGCATGAAGGAATACGCAGACCTGAAGTTCTCTCTTCTGCTCTACGACGCCTCTCTTGTCCTTATGGGAACCACAGCTTCATCTTTCTCGCTGGGGGAAAGCTCCGGCATTGCGTTCTTTACGGGTGGAATCACGGGTTTTCTTTACTTGCTGTTGCTGCAGAGATCCGTCGATGAGCTGCCAGTTCCGGAATCTTCATTACCCGAAAACTCCGACTGGAATCCCCTCGGAAGGTTCAAGATTCCGGCTCTGAGCCTTGCGCTGGCTGTAGGGTTTGCTGTTTTAGCAGTGAAGGGAGGCGACCATGGAGGAGGAGAATCTGTTGACTTTGCATTGACTCCGATGGAGATTCTGGTGGGGACTTTGGGGTTTCTTGCGTGTAAAGTAGCTGTGGTTCTGGCTGCTTTTAAGCCCTTACCCTTTGGTCTTAAAGCCAAGAAGTGAGTTTCTCTTAGGTTCTGAAATGGGACAAGTACAGGACTCTGTATATATATACAGATACATACATACATAGAAATGTGCAGTATATGTGTGAATGAAATTACACACATGTATACAGAGAATATATATATATATATATATATAATTAACTTATTCTAGAGTTTGGGTTTAGTAGGATGTCATTGTCAGGGACTTAATTAGGTAGCCAGACTAATAATTACCATTATAATTAGGGGTGAAATTCATAATTAGTGACGTGTCAAAAAAAAGTCAAGTTGGTGAGTGTCACAATAAGATTTTCATAATTTTTGTATATAGACATATACATGTGTATGAATTTGTTAATATCTTTTATGTGTGTATTTATGTAGATTTGGAATTGGGAAGAAATCTCATCCTAACCATTACAATCATGGGTCCATTTCCATGCACCCATAAATACTTGAATTTGACCTTAGAAAAATATTAAATGTGGCTTCAATGCAAATACATGTAGGTCGCTAATAAGATATTTTTTGTTTCAAGTTAGATATATCACTTAATAAATGAAATCAATTTATTAATTGTATGCTTGGTAGGTCCATCATAAGATTAAGTTAAGCTAGTAGAGATCCAGGAATATTCCAAACTAACCATTTGTTGTTATACATAAAAATAATAATTAACTAAACGAGACGGAAATAATGCATTTTTTTTTACACAAATTTGTATATTGGTGTGCTTTTATTGTTATTAAAAACTAAGATGCAAATTAATTTTGTTAGTCTTTCCAAAAATTAAAATTTTCAATTTGCGTTTCGGATTTATTGTTAGTTATTTTACAATAAAGTTTTCATTACTCTAATTCATATTTTGTTTTTGAATTTGATGATTTAATAATGGGCTATAAAATAAAATGTCTGATATAGTATTTAATAATGACAAGATTTATATATAAAGTAATAAGATTTACTAGTTTTGGAAATAAAATTCAGATTGGGAAATTCTCTATAAACAACTTCCGTGACCTGAGATTTGCAAGGGGGAGACACTATACTATTAACCTCGTTCTTTGTCCCATTGTTTTTCTTCGTTTTTCCCCTTGCATTTTGGTGGAATTCAAGTATTAGGTTTGCGGGTTTGATCGGATTCCACTGATCGAGAGTCTTGATCGGTTCTCGATCGGCTCAAAGCTTGGAACTTTTCGATCTGGGTTTCGTTGAATTTATCGGGTTTTTTCATCGTATGAGTTTGGCTCTTTGAAGATGGATCTATCTTCTCAACGACGGTCCCCGAACGGGCCGACAGGTTTTCGTCTTCAAGCTCCATTGGTAAGCTTCTGTGTTATTCCTTTGGCATTCTCATGGCCAGGTCTCACGAAATTCATGAGAATTCGAGTATACCCAGTTTTCGAATTCTCCGTCACATCGACAGTTTCTCGCGGAATTTCTGTTTGGATGCCGGAAAACCTCTGGAATATATGATCTGTGTTCTACTTCCCGCAGCTGAATTTCGTCTCTTTCTGTTTAGAACCCTAGCTAATTTCGCTCAATGTTGTAGTAGTTTTGTTGTGTCGATCTAAAGGATCTTCTAGTTCGATGCTCTTTCTCTAAGTTACCAAATGTTCTAAATTTAGACATTGCCCTGAACTAGTTGTAGTTACTAAGGAAAATTTCTTCTCTTCTTCTTCCTCCTCCCAGCTTGTAGTATCGTTTTGAATCTCAACTTGTCACTTTTGTAGTTTTCCAGACAAAGATTGATGTTCTTGCTCTTGATCTCTCGGGTCTTCACGGTGATACAGTGTTTCCTGTTTATGTTGTCTCTGCTTAATCGTCCAATTGAGTTGTATGACTTTCGTTCTTGATTTCTGATGCTGGGGATCTTGCAGGTAGATTCTGTATCTTGCTATTGCAAAGTAGATGCAGGTCTGAAGACTGTGGTAGAGGCGAGGAAGTTTGTTCCTGGATCAAAGCTTTGTATCCAACCAGACATCAATCCTAACGCACACAGGCGTAAGAACTCGAGGAGGGAAAGGACAAGAGTACAGCCGCCGCTCCTCCCCGGCCTTCCCGATGATCTTGCCGTCGCTTGCCTCATCCGGGTTCCTCGGGCGGAGCATAGAAAACTCCGGCTGGTGTGTAAGAGATGGTATCGTCTTGTTTCGGGAAACTTCTTTTACTCTCAGAGGAAACTCCTCGGGATGGCGGAAGAGTGGGTTTACGTCTTGAAAAGAGATCGTGATGGGAAGATCTCGTGGAATGCGTTTGATACGGTTCACCAGCTCTGGCAGCCACTTCCGCCTGTTCCCAGGGAATATTCTGAGGCTGTCGGGGTTGGTTGTGCTGTTCTAAGCGGTTGTCATCTGTATTTGTTCGGTGGGAAGGATCCTTTGAGAGGGTCTATGAGAAGGGTCGGCTGTCGGGTTTGGTTGTGCTGTTCTAAGCGGTTGTCATCTGTATTTGTTCGGTGGGAAGGATCCTTTGAGAGGGTCTATGAGAAGGGTCGTTTTCTACAATGCCCGGACGAACAAATGGCACAGGGCACCTGATATGCTCAGGAAACGCCATTTCTTCGGTTCTTGTGTCATAAACAACTGCTTATATGTAGCGGGTGGGGAATGTGAAGGAATTCAACGGACTCTTCGCTCGGCTGAGGTTTATGATCCGAACAAGACCAGATGGAGTTTCGTTTCTGATATGAGCACGGCAATGGTGCCCCTTATTGGCGTGGTTTATGACGGGAAGTGGTTTCTCAAGGGCCTCGGGTCTCATCAAGAAGTCATGAGTGAAGCATATGACCCGGAAACTAATTCTTGGAGCCCTATGAGTGACGGGATGGTGGCTGGTTGGCGAAACCCTTGTACCTCTCTAGATGGACGCCTTTACGCATTGGACTGTAGGGACGGGTGCAAGCTTAGAATATACGATGAATCCACAGATTCATGGAACAAATTCGTGGACAGTAAGCTCCATTTGGGAAGCTCCAGATCGGTTGAGGCTGCAGCTCTGGTTCCACTTGGTGGTAAGCTTTGTATAATCAGGAACAACATGAGCATGAGCCTGGTCGATGTGTCAGGTCCCGACAAGAACAACAACAGTCCTCACGTGTGGGAAAACATAGTGGGGAAAGGCCAATCCAAGGGCATCCTCAGCAACATATGGTCGAGTATAGCAGGTCGAGCATTGAAAAGCCATATCGTGCATTGCCAGGTTCTTCAAGCTTGAAAAAGAGAAACAGTCTTGAACTCGTCCATGGAGGCCGATTGTTCAGAGGATTCAATTCAAAAGATTTGGAATGCCCTCTTGATGCAACTTATCCTCCTCTGCCTTGGCCTGCAACCTTGCCGGTTTTTCATGGTGGCACCATAAGAGAGATGTTCTGTCTCAGCGATATGAATCCATGGGAGAAGACAGAAGCAGGACCAGAAGGTGTTTTCTCTGGTGGCAGATGAACGGAGAGAGAGCAAGACAGGTATATATATATATATACAGTACATGGCCATTATGGTGTTTGTCTTTGCAATTGCAAGTGTTGTCTTTGGAACAGCTGTATGTTTGGGATTGTTGTATTGTCTCAGTTCTATGTCAACATGTTCCGCCATTGTTATTGTTTGAAGCAATTCCAGTCTCTGATCATATCAAGATTCGTTTCTTTGACACGAAAGATAACAATCGATATGGAAGCAAAGGATAAATCTTTATTCGTGAGTTAAGTCGGTTCATTACATTGAAGCAACAGAACCTGAATCGGGAACGGATTGAACCAACCCAGATTCGTGCTCGAGAGCTGATTTGTTCATACAAGACGGAACATCCTCGAACAGCTTCGCCGGCAGCTTCTCCGACAAGAACCCGACGGAGAACACTATCATGCCCGAATGCTGATCCGACTCCATGGCCGTAACGGGCACCCAAACGAAGAGCTTCTTCGCCTGGATTCCTTCGACGTCCTTCACGGATCCATAGCTGAGCTTCCCGGAGATTTTCTTGTCGTAGAAGACGAGCTCGTCGCCGAATCTGACGTAGCAATCGGAATGAAGCTTGACGGTGAAGTCGCCGTCGTTAGAGAGAGAGAAAGACTTCACATTGGAAGGGAGAATACCTCTCGGAAATCCGTACGACGGGAGAAGATCGTGGACGTCGGCGGCGGCGGCGGAGGAGGAGGAAGATGGAAGGTCGAGATCTGCGAAGGACAAGGAGGTGAAGGAGAGGGAGAGGATCTGGTGACCGTCGGATGATGATGGGATTGGACGGTGGAGATTTAGAGAGAAGGAAAGGGAGGAGAGAGAGAGAAGGAGGAGGAGGAGGAGTGAGAATGCTGCAACGGAAGCCATCGCCATTGGTGTGTGAGCGAGTGACTGAGAGCCGAAGGAAGCCTTTTCTCTTCGAGTGTGGGGGGTGAGGGCGGGGCGTAATTTAAGAAATTTTCAGGGGTAAAATGGGAATAATAACAAGTTGATGAGATTTCTGTATGGTCCGTTTGACGCCTCTTTGAAGACACAGATTTCAACGAGTTTGCAGTTGAAATAATTATATATATATATATATATATATATATATGCACACCCCTGGGCGGATCTAAATTCAAATGGATGGGATCCCATGCCCCCTCACTTAAATAAAAAAGCATAATATTATTTAATAGATTTTATAAAATTTTAATGAAAAAACATAAACTGCCCCATATAATTTGCAATTATTTTTAAAATGTTTCTATAAGATTTGTAATTTTTTTAAAGGTAAAATCCCTAAAAAATCTCGAATTTACAAAAAAATATACAAATAAACCTTCAATTTGCAAAGTTGTCATTCAAACCCTAAACTTGCAACATATAACTGAATAAAACCTTGATCTCGCAAATTGTTATTCTAATAATACGTTGACTTGTTTGACAATAATTTCAGACGATCGAAATCCACGTTGGCCCGGAAAGCTGATGGCAGTATGTCCACGTAACTAATTTTAATTGAATAAACCTTCTATCTGATTATATTTTGTGATGTTGATCTGAAAAACCAGTTTTATTTATTCTCAAAACGGATTAAATTTTGATCTAAAAACTGCTGATATGGCAAAAATTCATTTAAAGTTGGTTATGTAGATACACTGACATCAGTTTTCTAGGTCAATATGAATTTTCGATCGTCTGATATTGTGGTCAAACAAGTTAACAGGTTATTAGAGCAACCATTTGTAAGTTCGAGATTTTATTCGGTTACATGTTGTAAATTTGGGATTTAAATAATAATTTTGCAAAGTTTAAGATTTATTTTTATATTTTTTTTTTTTGCAGATATGAGTTTTTTTTTATTATAGAGGTTTTATCCTTTTTTTCAACTTTTGGAGTGTTTCTTTTTTGCCAACGACATATCCGAGGTTTATTCGGTTCGGGAGGTGCATTCCACGCGCTAAACTGGGCCTCTTTCGTATGGCCTTAATTACAGTAGGCCCATATATTTCACTAGTGGGCCCAACTTGATCAGCACATTGATTAAGGGGGTACTGAAATCAGCCCACTAAGCTGGGGGGAAGGAGGGGATACATTTGCCATTATATGTAACAAAAAAGATATAATTATAATTTATATAATGAAATCTCATTCTGTTTGGAAACTTATGGTTTAATTATGTAACATTTGAGAGCTCTTCCAAATTTTATCCGCCTGGTTAAAAATTAACTATTCGAAAAAAAAATCTCTATCGTATGATTCAGGTAATTATTTCGTAAATATATCTACGGCGGTGTCGTTGAAAAATGTATAAACAAAAACATAATCATTACACAAACAGAAAATTAACATTAAGATTCAAAGACTAATTGATTTGTTATTCAAACCCAAATAAAAAAACACACACACAATGCTTTGGCCCACCGAGATTCAATTAAAACACGCAAATACAGATCATGACGCGGTTACATGCACACGTGTTACACGCTAATACACACACACACACACACACATATGTATATATGTATGTATGTATGTGTGTATGTGTGTATGTAACGGAGTAGGGGCCATATTAACTAAAGAGAGATGTGAGACAATAAATTAAGAAGGTGACAACAACCAACCAACCCTTTCTCTTAATATTGCCTCCGTCACTCTTTTCTGCCTCGGCTCCCTTTGCCTTTGTTGTTGTTTCCCCTTTTGATGTCCCTTACAATATAAACACACACCAAATTTATATAAATCGCTCCAAATATGTCATATCCATGTATATGTATATACATCTACGTACATGTATATGTATAAGACTATATATAAAAATCGATCGAATGATCCATTGGGTTTAAAACTATACCAAAATCATGATAATCGATTGGTACATATATGGTTACAAAACTATCAAAATCAGTCAAATAGATCATGTTCTCTTGGCCCATAAAATAGTTGGACAGCATCATTTTTCTTTTGTTATTATTATAAAATAAAGTCGATTTAGACCGGTTAGGGTTAATTAATTTGTTTTGAGATTCGATTTAGATTGTCTAAAGTAAATTGTATAAAATTAATTCTACACGTTTAAAATTTACAATAACACGAGAAAAGTTTCTTCAAATTCGTTTCAATTCTTGAACTTAATGAATTGGCCCCACAAGTATCATTATATATATACAGTTGATAAAATTGTTGAGAGGCATTAATTATAGGGTGTTTAGCGGCGGTTTAATTAATTATAATAATATAAATGGAGAAATTAATTAACCTTGGGGATTAGGTGAGGAAGTGGAGTTGGCGTTTCCCTCTACCTTCCCTAAGCTCTCGAACTCCTTCGCCGCCGGTGAGTTTGGAGGCAACTTCAAAAGAGCTGTCCCAAATGAAAAAAAAAAACAAAAATATATAAATAAATTAATATACAAACACAGTATTGTTATATACTTGTAAGTTTTGATATCAAGTATTGTTATATACACGGATTCCATGGAAATAACCAAAAAAAAATCCTCAATATTTGAATCGAAACAATCGTAATTTTGTTCTCAATATGCGAATAGAGAAATGGATTCTTACCGAAATAGAGATCTAATCCTTGAATTCAACGTAATTATAAGTCGCTTTGCCACTAACATTTATTAAATCGTTTCATAAAAAAATCATTTATTATACTAACCACAATAATGCATGGCATTAACATTAGCTTTGCTACTAACCAAACTATCAAACTCATAAACTTTTAGACTGTGCATGCACACATACACTAAGAATATATATATATATATACAGAGGCAGATACACTTACAAGTACAGTCGGAGATATTAGGAGCGGGCTGATGGCAAACGGTGGGGAGGTGAACGGCTAAGGTAGCGTTGATCTTGAGACCAAGCTCGGGGTCGTCACGGTCTTTGATCAAAATGCAAATACACTTCTTGCTCTTGTCGATTACCGCTTTGAAACCTGCGCAGCAATCTTTTGTCGGAACCTTAGCATCTCCTCCGACGTACGGAAGACACGTGGCAAGACCCACGAGCTGCTCCGAGCACTCTGCCCTGTCTTGAGCCAGATCTGAGTTCCCAATCCCCAGGAACATCAGACCCACCATGATCGAGATCGTTAGGGTTCTTGCCGGCGTTTCCATGTGGTCTCTGTTCAATGTGTTCTGACTTTTTCTTCGATTGCTGGGTTTGTGCTTGTGTTTATTTGTATATATATAATGAGAGTGTGTGGGTGTAATGGTTAGATGATGGGGATTTACATTAGGGGTTGGGAATTTATTGTGGTACTGATTTATAGCTGTCTCGATATATAATGATATATGTGTGTGTATATATATATATATATGTTTTTCATTACCAAATGTTTTTCGAATTAGTTTTCTAAATTAAGATAAACAATATTGAATACTATGCATAACATGAATTTTTTTTAATTGATTTATATATGGAGTTTTGCACCTAATAATGTATGAGTTTTACGACCCTAACCATCAACCGTTTCCACCATTAATACTTACCTGTTAATATCAATATCCAAGAGACAATATAGTTTGTGTTATTGAATAAATATATATTTATATATAATGTGATAAAAATTAAACATAGATAGGGAAATGATGAAAGGTTTTTACTTTCTCTTTTTGTTTTCACCATTAATTAATGGTAGTTGAGCCCTAGGGAGCTTTGCATGTGAACGTTAGATGGATACCATTCGACTTGTCTTCTTCTGCGTGTAAATTCCTTTCTAAATTTCTTAAATTTGATGGACATAAATAAATTTCATTACATATAAAATAATTATAGAACGAAATTGATTCAAATGGAATATAATTCTAGCTCGAAATTAAAATATAAATGATTTATGCATGCAATATAGTTTTTGCTTATATATGTATATGCATATAGAGTACTAATGGAGGCACTCACTCACTCACACAAAAGAGAGATTATGAAATTTAGAGAAATTTTCAGACGAAACAAAAGCAACCCTTAAATGTTTTTTGTCTTGTCCTGAACAGACTTTTCTAATCACAAGCATCGATTTCAGTTCTAATTTAATTTTCTCTACACTAAAAACGGTCATACATGTAACACACCTAGGTTTTATCACCATGCACTATATATATGTATATATATATATATCATTCATAAATCATATTTGAATGTGTATATATATATATATCATTTATCGTTTCGTGCGACGAACGATGATCAATTTAAATGTGTAAGATTTAAAGGTGGTGGTTCATAATTGAACACCATTCAAGATACCTCGTGGTTTATACAAAAAATATATGGAATGCATAAATCGATCCAAAGTCAAATTAAAGGGATTTTCCCGCCTTTCATTGTCACTCTTAACATTTCGTATCAAGTCTCGATTTTGTTTTGGATAAACAATTTTTTATATACAGATTATAAAAAGCACTCCAAACTATATATGTTGCATTAATATCACGTAATGTATATAACAAATATACCGTTGTATATTGTCACTATCTCATGTTGGATTTGTAGAAAAATATTTCGGATAAATTCATATACAATATATAAAGTTTGAGCATTCTCTCGTTTAAAACCCTGTTCACGTGGTATTGTTTGATTGGATATGGAAATTTATATTAATTTATTTTATACATTTTTTTGGAGAAGAGTAATTTCTGTTAGATGGTCTCTCTTGATGTATTATATGTCACGCACATTAAATACTTTATACTTATTAAAAGGAATTCAAAAACAAATATTGATTTTGTAACTTAAAATGTGAGCATTGAAAATATAACTTTGTAAAAAGTAAAAGAAAAAAATAGAGTTGTCTAGTCTTATTTATTAGATATATTTTTTTAATCTTTGTGATTGATTGAGTTTTAATAATCAAACAAAATCAAATATTTAAAAGTAAAATCGAATATTTAAAATGTTTTTGTATCTTCAGTTTTTACAGTATTCGAACAATAATTTAAATTACTAAACTTCATTTTTTTCTTTCAAAATACAAATAGTTATATAAAAATACAAATATATTAATTAAAATATCGCTATATGATAAGTGAGAATTTGATTTTTCTAAATAAATATCCATGCAGACCACTTCTTCTTCTTAGTTATATATATTTTATTAAAAAATGACTATGCATCTCTTGTTGTATAAAAAAAATAATCTTCTACAATTTTTGTTTCACCAAATATAATTTTAAAACGTAAATATTCACATAAATTATATTCTAAAATTTTAAGAATCAATTTACAAAATTATAAAAATAAAATATTTAAATGTGAGATATTTAATATGTTAAATTGTTTTTATACTTAACATTTAATAATATTTTTTTTTCTAAACCGAAAATCCGTACTGATAAATTAATTAAACATGCATACACATGTGGAAGTCATTGCATTCAATCCAAATGGTCGCAGGCTCACGTGTAGTTAGTTAACATTGCACCTAGATTTCAGTGTGTTAGGCTTCTCAGACACCCTAATCTAGGTTGCCCTGGTTAAGAAAATTAACAGGCCGGCAATTTAATCGTATTATAGTATTTCTTTTTTTTTTTAAGAAAATGGACCTAATTCAAATATAAAAAATATATGTGGTTACACATTTAAAATTTATTGTACCCATTTAATATGAGTCTTAGCGCCAATTTTTTTTTTTTATAAAAAGAATCCAATTCCAATATTTGGTTACAGCTAAGTTTGTCCACCTCGTGTTTAGTTATATTTCGGTTTTAAAACAATTGATTATAACCTTTTGACTTTTACATTAAATTCATTTTCATTTTAGTTCAATTTTAGTTTTTATTAAAAAAAAATACTCATATTCGTTTATATTCTTTTTGGATTTGATTTATTCGCTTTCAAAAGAATAATAACCATTCATTCTTTATATCGAATTTGTTTTGTTTACAATGAATGATGTATTATTCAGTTTCAATTTATTCGGTTATGAACCAAACCGGCCACCCTGATTATAGTTCGATTTCATTCCAAGACCAAGCGATGATGCATAGGCAGAATGTATTATCGGTTCTAATATCATGGATTATTATATCTCATACTCGGAATAAGCGTGTATAAGCGTGTATATATATATGTATAAAAAAATTAATAAAAATTCGGTAACTGAAATAAAAAAGTGTGAAATATGACCCAAAATTGGGTTTGAGTCTTCACTTGAAAAATGATATTTATATAGACTTTCTGATAGATATAGTCGGACCAAAGATCCGATAAATTTTTGGATTAAAAAAAAATGTGAAATATGGAGGTAGGGTCGTTGTCGGTCCCCATGCCATAAAAGATGGCATAAATGGAGAGAACACCGACGTTAGTGACAGTTCCCGGAACCATAAAACCAACCCCCACACCACTTGCCTATCTTGATTTATAATTTCAATATATATTCCGTACCCAACTCCCTCATTATTATCTCTGATATATATTTATTTGAAAAAAAAAAGTTGAGAGGGATTTGTGGGCATTTTTTTTATGTGAATGGCTAATACTATCTAATATCAGTGTCAAAACTACGGTTGCCTATTTCGGATTTCGAATTGGTTATATTCGAGTTCGTTTATTTCGGTGGTAGAAAAACTATAACCATTTATTTTTTAATAAATTTTGATTCGGTTATCATTTTTTCCCAAAAAAATATTATAGTTTTTTCGATTTTTTCAAATGGATTATGTTCGATTCGATTGGATTTTTTAGAATTTAAAAAATTATAACGATCGGTTTTTATATCAGATTCGGTTTGATTATGATTATATCTTATTCGGTTCCGTTTCGGTTCAACTATGACCAAAATGGTTACCAAAACCCTAAAATTTTCCAACTTCCATTATTATAGTTTGAAGGTGATATATGGGCCATTTAAAAAAAAATATTAAAGAACATGGGCCATAAGAGCTAGTTCCGAAATCGTAGAGACAGGCCTTGACCCAATGACTCAGAAAGTTCCAGACTTTTTTTTTTCTGCGATTTTCCTGTTCTTGGAAAGAAGATTCCTCGATTTTTGTTTTTCGTTAAAACCCCAGAAAAACCCTACTCTTGCAGTTTCTTTCATCTCTTCCTCTCTGGTTTTTGCTGCAAGTGGAAATGTATCGAGCAGTTTCAAAGTTAGCTTCTTCAATCGGGTACGTTTCGTTCTTCCCATTGATTCAATTTTGTGTAAAGGTTGCAACTTTCTCGACCAATTCGCACTGATAATTGGCTCCCACTCCTCCTCTTCGTGGGTTTTGATTTTGTCGCAGTTCGTCTGCTTCGAGGAAACTGGTGAGATTCTTCTGAACCCTTTTTTTTTTTGTTTCCTTCATTTTTACGATTTTGATTGCATTCCATTTATGGGTTCTCCTGTTTGGTAGCCGAGAAAGTGCGAAAAATGTTGGCATATTTGACATCGAAGATGAATGCGGATAGCTCCTCAATCGATTATTTTCTTTTCGGTTTCTCTGATTAGTGATTTTTACGATTTCGGGTTTTTTTTAATAGAAAAGTTCAAACCTTTGAGCTTCTGCCTTTCCAGAAATTTTCTCTTGTCCTTAATTCAGATTCCCATTAGAAAATCTTCTACATGTCATTGTGGAATAAACATTATTATTATGATTGTTCTGTGCTTGAATTTGTGTTGTTAGCTTCAAATTCGATTGGTCGAAACTATTTCAAAATGCTGAAATCGATCTTGAATTTATTTTATGGTCCTAAGGTTTGTAGTCGGATCATAAGCAGCAGAAACTATGTGGCGAAGGATATCAGTTTCGGGGTCGGGGCTCGTGCAGCTATGCTGCAGGGTGTATCTGAGGTTGCAGAAGCTGTTAAAGTTACAATGGGACCAAAGGTAATGCTTCTTTTTTTCTTTGTTTCAAGCAGATTTTAAAATGTTTTTCTAGTTGTGAGATCAAGAATCTCTATCTCAGTACACGGTCTCAAGGAATCGAAATTTGAAACAAACCTGAATCAGGAATTGATCATAAGAGGTTTGCAATTTATTTCAGAGATAACTGTTAGAGAAGAAAAAGGCTCATCTAAAGTTCTGATTTTTTCGTATTTATGTCCTTTGTCCGCTATGTGATCCGCTTGAAACAAAGGTATACACTTTTCTTGCAAGTCGGATCACTTAATGATGCTTCACCTTGGTCCCCCGGAATCGAAATTTGAAACACACCCGAATCACGAATTGATCATTAGGTTTGCAATTATTGCAAAGTTAACTTTTTGAAAAAGGTTCATCTAGCTCTGATTGTCCGTATTTATGTCCTGTATTTTCTTTCTCTACGTGATATGTAGGGGCGAAATGTGATAATTGAGAAAAGTCATGGGGAGCCAAAGATCACAAAGGACGGTGTCAGTGTGGCAAAAAGCATATCATTCAAAGACAAAGCTAAAAATGTCGGTGCTGAGCTTGTGAAACAGGTTGCAAATGCCACTAACAAAGTTGCTGGAGATGGTAAATCCCTCCTTGTCTGATTTCATAGATTACATTCTTCGGATGTGGATATGGATATGGATATTATTAAACACACGTATCGGAGATTGTATGTGCTTATAATTATACTTTTTGCTTTGTCTATGTTACAGGCACCACTTGTGCAACTGTTTTAACTCAGGCAATACTCACAGAAGGTTGCAAGTCAGTGGCAGCTGGCGTAAATGTGATGGATTTGCGTAGCGGTATAAACCTTGCGGTTGATGCCGTTGTATCTGACTTAAAAAAAAGAGCTGTTATGATTAGCACCCCTGAAGAAATTACTCAGGTGATTTTCGGCAATCTTGGAAAATCCACTGTGTAATCATTTATGGAAATTTGAGCTATAGGGTTATTGTCTCTGAAACATGTCTGTTAGGTGGCTGACTGATTTCCTAAATAAAAGAAAAAATTATATGAACTTCTGAGTTCTGCATGTTTTAAGCCAAGAACAAGCCTTCATTATGTTCTTGGTCTTTGTTTTTTGCTGATAGGACCATATATGGTCTTACTGTTATTGCATGCATTTTTTGTTTTGTCAGGTTGCCACTATATCGGCAAATGGGGAACGTGAGATTGGGGAACTAATAGCAAGAGCAATGGGTAAAGTTGGAAAGGAAGGCGTCATTACTGTTGCTGTATGCATAATTCTCTCTCTAATACCTTGATATGATTCATTTGACTGCCCAATATTCATTGTATCTCATGAAGTTTTGAAATATTTGAAGGATGGAAACACATTGGACAATGAACTGGAAGTGGTGGAAGGAATGAAGCTAGCCAGAGGTTATATTTCTCCTTATTTTATCACAGATCAGAAGACCCAGAAATGTGTTAGTAACATCTTTCATATGTTTTTTTTTTGGGCCAATTCCTCATGAATCATCTCGAACTATGGAAGAAAAGAGACTATGTTAACCTAAAAATACGTTTTTTTCCAGGAGCTTGAGAATCCCCTCATCCTCATTAATGACAAGAAGGTCTCAGATATGAACTCGCTGCTCAAAGTTCTGGAGATGGCAGTGAATGTAAGTCTTTATCGAGTATCTGTTATTCCATATCCTGTGTTCAGTACTTTCTGCAAGAGAAAGTTGTCATTTTCTCGCCTTTTCATTACCGTTTTACAGAACAGCAGACCGCTTCTTATCGTGGCAGATGATGTCGAGAGTGATGCACTAGCTATGCTTATTCTCAATAAGCATCATGCCGGGCTTAAGGTACTACTTCCCGGTCATATTTGTTTCTCGTATCTTTGTTTGTTTCGATTCCATATCATATACCTGACTTTATATTGGAACATATTTGTTTCCCCTTCAGGTATGTGCCATCAAAGCTCCGGGTTTTGGGGACAATAGGAAAGCTAGCTTGGATGATCTCGCTACCCTTACTGGCGGAGAGGTAGAGATGATTCTTCAGTGATATTCCCTGTTCATTGTTCATTACATTTCCCTAATGTCTTATGGAGCTCACCCACTTTTTGTACAGGTAATCTCTGAGGAACGGGGTCTATCACTCGACAAAATCCACCCTGAAATGCTCGGAACTGCGAAGAAGGTGAGGAGAAAAAGAAAAAAAAACATATCTGGTTGGTTTCTCTTCTGGATGCAAATCTAAATATAGATTCTTGAAATAGGTCACTGTCTCTCGTGATGATACGATTATCCTGCATGGTGGTGGTGATAAGAAGCTGATTGAAGAAAGATGCGAAGAGGTATTATACGATATTTTCTTCCCTTCTGTCCTTCATTATGTAACTCCATGAGTAAAGAATAAGAAACAATGCATGAACGTTTTTTTCCCTTTCTATTCCTTGGTTTTATTTATAGTTAAGGTCTGCCATGGAGAAAAGCACTTCAGCTTTTGACAAGGAGAAAGCTCAAGAACGTCTCTCAAAACTATCGGGTGGTGTTGCTGTCTTCAAGGTGCGTAATCTATCACATGTCCCTAAACCATGGAATCTGCGTTCAAAGGTTCCAACTTTTCGGCTGTCATGCAGGTGGGAGGAGCAAGTGAGGCCGAAGTGGGAGAAAGGAAAGACAGAGTTACCGATGCTTTAAATGCTACTAGAGCAGCTGTAGAAGAGGGCATAGTACCTGGTACCACACACACACATATATACACACGCACATTATTGTCCTCGGGCTTTTTTCAAGATGTCTTCTCGTGTATTTTGACCGGCAATTTTCCTGTAGGTGGAGGTGTGGCTTTACTATATGCTACCAAGGCTTTAGATAACGTCCAAACTCAGAACGAGGACCAGAGAAGAGGTGTTCAAATAGTTCAGAATGCTCTCAAGGTCTTTTTTTTTTAAAATTTTCCGCTTCTCTCAATTTTGTTAATTTCAAAACAAAATCTTGACAAAAAAGTGTGGGTTTTCTGTAGGCACCCACATTGACAATAGCTGCAAATGCCGGTTTTGATGGATCTTTAGTCATTGGCAAGTTACTGGAGCAAGACGATAACAACTTTGGCTTCGATGCCGCCAAAGGTTATAGCAACTTATAGAATTATTATACCGAAAATGCAGGCTGATTATAGGGTTTTGGTAATTGATTTCGTTTATGATGATGATGGTACAGGTTCGTACGTCGATATGGTGAAAGCTGGAATCATCGATCCTGTCAAAGTAATCAAAACTGCCTTAGTAGATGCAGCTAGGTAAAAATATCAAATGGCATAATCTCCATCCATAACACATTACCATTCAAATTTCTCTGCTCGGTAGAGACTCACTCGGTTCCTCTTCTTTCACGGGTTTTTGCAGCGTTTCTTTGCTTTTAACCACGACAGAGGCCTCAATTGTGGTGAGCAGAGACGAGAAACCTCCACAACGTGTGCCAGATATGAACAGTATGGGCTTGTGATCTTAAGGTTCGATTCTTGAAACATTACCATGTTATCTTTTCATTGATTCTCACAACAAATTCATGAGCTTCAGAAGTTACTTTTTGGAAGTAAAGATTCGTTCTTATCATACAAAGTAACAGAGGATAATCTTGAATGAGACAAGAACAGAAACTGGTTCACATCCTGTTTCTTGTTCTTCTTAACATGTGTTTGGTATTGTCCTGAGTATCAGATTTGTTAGAATCTGTGATCATAAAACAATCATAACAATTGTATTCCTCCATTGAAGAATGCTTTATTCATTACATATGAGAAGAGGTTGTAGATGATGCATTTCAGGGATGGGCATAGAATCTACAGAAATTCATGCAGAGATTGACTCAGAGATAGAATCTTATACCGGTTTCTTGTATAGATCCATTGTTTCTGAAATCAAATGACATTTAAACAAATCTGTTAGAAATTTGGCGAGCCTACAAAATTGATTCTGCCATTGACGAAAGGGGGAACAACAAGAAAAACTGTTCCTTTGTCAGAAAAATGTCGATATAGATCTTGATGGGTAGGTCGCCCTATGAGGATATGATCAATTGTGCAGAAGCCATGTTCAGATTCCTTTCCGCAAAACCTTCATGCTCGAACTCGACATGTTCATGTCTTTCGCTTGAGACATCTTCAACCTGTTCCATATTCGCTGTTGTTGACGATTCTTGCAGCTGCAGACACCACATATCTTCTTGCAACCCTGTAAAAGTACAGAACTGCTGTTCTTGTGCTTGCTCGTGAAGGGGATAACTACATGGTAATGAGTTATTCAGATCAAAAGAACTCGAAAAACTGGAGATATCCTCTGGTTCTTGGATCTGGGTGCGCGGTTCTTGATGGGCACATTCCCTGAACAGAGCCAGATGCTGAAGAACGAGATCGAGCTCGTTCCTGGTGCACTCGATCTCGTATTGGAGCTCCCTTATGATTCTGTAACAGCCACCAACAGGATCCTTGGCTCGAGCATCTGATTGAAACATGATGGAGTTCATGGCTGCATCTTTCTCGGGCAGGTTAAGCGTTCTGATGATCTTGGTGATATTGCTGACACCAAAGAGCTTGTGGGCATTCAAGAACTGACGGTGACGGTCGTGAGGGAAGTAAGGGGCGAGAAGACAGTCAGGGGCACATTTCCTACGTTGGTACTTGCAGGCAGCACATGCCTGGTTCGTGCCACCAGTGCTGTTCCCTGTTCTCTGGATGTTGCTTAATGTCGAAGGGAAAGCCGAGATGCTGCCTGAGGGCATTTTCTGTGTTGGTTATCTTATCGGAATTGCGGGTTCTGTTCCTTAGATTTCTCCTGCTGAGAAGGAAATGCAGAGATGGAGAGAAATGAGGGGGGAAAGAGAGGGAGATATAAGACAGAGACAAGAGAGAGAGACAGAGAGAGATTCTGACCAATTCCAAGTCATGAACAGTGTCTAAATTTAGGGAGGGTTTGTGAATATGGGGAAAGCTTATACGTGCAGAGAGAGAAACAACCTTAATGGTGAAAAATAGCTAGACTGGATTTACTAAAAATCGGCTATATCCGTATGCGCTAGAAGTATATGGTTAGAATGAGCTCGCGTACCGGTTTTTAGACCTTGTCTCTTCCATTCCCCATCTACTTACCGCTGCCATTTGGATAAGAACCAGATATGTTTTTTCATGACATTGGCGGTTAAGCCCTCTCTCTGGTTTAAATGGTTCAAGGTCCAATTTACAGCCTCTTGGATGAGATTTTACGTCGATCTCCATGCAAATGATTCGTGCCCATTTGACATATCATCTATCCGTTTCCCTCTGCAGACTTGCTTCTGACGCAGAACAATCTGAAACTGCAGAGACAAGACAGGGAGACAAGTTGGACATCGGAAGGAAACAAAGAAGATGGAAGTAATGTAATGCCCAGAACCCTTGACATGTTGAACTTTGAAGCAGTGAATCGTGTGCCCTGGCGGCAAAAGTGTTGAATTAGCAATGAATATCAAGAAACAGATGCCACCATAATCTTGAACGGTAAGGTAGGCACAGAAACAAGAAACCAAGAGTTCGTCTTGAAATGACGTTGTGTATTTTCGCAATCAGTTCCCTGACATGATCGGGGATCGAAAATAAGAGCAAGCTTAACAAGAAAACAGAGGCCTGACAACGACAAACGGATCAAGGACACGTTCTGGATAACAATCACGCCTCCTTTGTTCGGACAACTGCTCGTTTTCCTCCAGCTTTTCCCTTCTGTCCTGCAAAAGTCTATGAACAAGAACCGTAAACTTCAACAAGAGACTAAAGCTACCATTCTAATCTAGCGAGCAAGCCATTTTCAGAACATCCGTGTATCAGACAAACCTCGTTCTCTAGTTATGGAACGCAAACAAACTGATCTCTTAAGACAAAAATGACAATCTGATGACAGTTTTGCAGATTGTCGTGTCTAGCGAAATCACTTCTGATCAATACCTCGAAGAGCTTAAGCCGAAGTGAGAGGGCATGAAACAGAAGGGAACTATGATCCAAAATGTCTAGGAATCTCAAGCTTTACCGTTGTTTTAGAGCCAAGAGATCCCGAAATATATTTCAAAAGATGCCGACACTTAGTCAAAATGTCTGTTCATTTCAGCAACCTGCAATCACAAAAGCAGAGCAAAAACCCATGGAAGTTTCCACCTTTTCCAACAAAAACCAGCCCAGATATGATCACAAAGACAGAAAACATACCAGGGCATCAGAATTCGGGTCCGTCCCGTGTCCCATTTCGGATTGTATCCGCTAGTTTCTCCACCAACTACAAATCCAAACCAAGACATGGAAGCTATATCATATACACATGAAATCGGAAGATGTCAATGTCGTGCGGAAGTTATCACCGTTACCGGGTGGAGATGGAAGTGAGAAGCCAGCGACTGATGCTCGTGCTATGGCTGGGACTGCGACGGCGATTGCAAAGGAGGAGGCGACTGTAAGATGCACTGGAAGTGCTGATATTGCTGAATTGCAGGCCTTGATGATGAAACTGCGGCTGCTGTTGGAGGAATAGATGGTCCTGATTCGCCGGTGCACCGAAGTTACCGTGCGACTGCGAATCGGGGATCACCGCCCCGCCCAGTTCCCTCCAGAGAACCTCTCCGCCCGAAAACGGCGTCGTACGGGTGAGATTCAAAACGACGTCGTATGAGCGAGAACCAGAGATCCCCCGGAGATCATCTCCTCCCGATCTCCATCCGACAGAGAAGGCGGAGACGGTGGGTTTTCCGATACACCCAGAAGCGAAAAATTTCATCATTCGAATTCGATTGATCTCTGGTTTTCTGAATAAACCCTTTTTTCTCGGAGCATAGGACCTGTGTAATCCGAAACTCGTGTTTGAAGATTATACTAAGTGAAGTGATGATGTCTTAGCTGGGGGAAGATCTATGTAAGAACATGTTCTTGCCTTTTGAATCCCTATGATACATGGATTGTTAAAGCAAGTGAAATTTCTAGTGATTCATATCCATTCACCATCTTCATCCACCTTAAAACTCTACCCTAGAAATGGAGCAATCCTTGAAACTAGTCTTTCTAAACTTACCAATGATCGAGGATTGCCTGCATATGTAAAGTTTGTATAAATTTTGATCCGAAATCTGAATTGGAAAGAAACCCTCTTTTTTTCCCCATCTTTTGATCAGCTTTTGTGGCTTTGTTGCATGAGAAACAAGCCAAAAATTGCAGAACGAAAAATGAGTATTATCTTTCTCTTCGCTCAACTGCAAGTCAAAGCCCTCATATTATATATATATGTATGTATGTATGTATGTATGTATGTATGTACATACATACATGCATGTGAAGTAAAGCTTATGTGGGCTTTTTGACAGGTAACAAAGCAATTATGTGTCTATGTGGGGAATATCCTATTGAATCAGACAAAAGGCAAGAAACACCATACAATGGCAAACCGCACCTTATTACACTTTTAAAGTTTATACCTTTATTTTTTAATCTTTTCCTATCAATATGATGTTATATATACATACATGTACAATGAAATATACTATGATATATAGTGATATCTTATAATTGTCTTTTGTTAATAACCTAAACGAATTTATATGGTATGGTTTCGTCGTATGAATTTTGACCTAACGCCTCTAAAGCAATCTTTACTTTTATTTTTATTTATCTAAAATGAAATTAATCGATAGAGACACCACAACCACACCATCTTTTATAAAGTTCCTCAAAGAATAAACCTTTTCTTTTTTTTTTCTCTGATCATAGGCTCATTATAAACTCAAGTTACTTTTATGCATTTTTCCCGAGTCGTTATATACAGTCTTAGTATTTTTGTCTATTTATACACAAATTATTACATACAATTTGTCAATCTGGTCGGAATTTTTTTTTTGTATTTGTGGTTTATAATATATATATATATATATATATGTACATATATTGTTAAGACGACATTTTTTATTCATAGTGTATAACTGTTTGGGGAAAAAAGGTGGAAAAAGATTACTTTTCATCATAATTAATTATACGAATTAAGAAATATGAGCAAAGGAAGTCACATCAGCTGCATGAGAAAAAAAATTCTTTTATCAAATGTTTCAATCATTTTCCCACTTAATTGCATGTGAAATATCATTTTTTTTGCGACTAAATTATTGACATCTTATTAGGAGGGAAAACGACGTTAATTGCTTATATATACTGTTAGAACAATATCTCAAAGATTTCTTACAGAAACTTTGAATCTTATTATTAATTATATACACACACATATATATATATATATACCGTTCGTGTACAGACATAAATATAGTGGAAGACAACTATATATATCGTTTTCAACGCATTCATCAATCTACTGATATAATTTAAAACTCGAACTAATATATTTGGGACAATAATGCCAAGGGACAATTTGGACAAGAAAACTAAATAAATGAAGATAAGGATTTGACGGTCGAATAAATGGCATAAAACTATATAGTTGCTGACATGTGTCTTATATTTTGTGCAGTCACTTTGCCACCGGGCAAAACATGATCTGATCTTGTCTCTGCCTGGATCCCACTTTCTCACCTCCATGAAATATCTCGTATACGATACAAACACGTACACACACATATATAGCATCATATATATATATATATATATATATATATATAATGGGTTTTCAAAATTATTTATTCACGACTGATTTGTATTAATATAAAATTGTTTCGGGTAAGCCCATGCATCCATGTTCCACAAGTGTCGTCCCCACTAGAGAATCCAATGCATATCCCAATGTTACTTTTTTTTTCCTTTTAAATATGCCAACGTTTCATGATTACTTTCATATTTTGCTTTCTAAAAAATTTCAAGTATGCAATGATTTTGCAAATCTCACGTGAAATATCTTTAAAAAATTTTAAAATTTTATTTTGTTTTTTAACCGCAAATGGTAATTGAGCTCGTTTAAATTCAAAGTAAATGCTCCTAAGAGAGATGATTCGTGGTCTTTATATTTAAACACTTGAATAATCACGTACGTCTTCTTCGACTAATTTGAATCCGACTCGTTAATTAACGTTAGTCTACTTCGACTATAGTCTTTATGTATGGATGCCACAACTCGAACTCATCAAGACTTAAAACTGCATAGAATTCACAGTTCTTTAATAAATGTTTCTGATTAATGATAGTGAAACACATATAATACATACATATATATATATATAAACTTGTATTATCATGATGTTGTTGATAGAACACACACATTAATAATGGACCTAACTGAATCTCAAAGCCCATGAATAGAACTCATCTCAAAAACTAGGTTGTTGGGGGAGGATGTCCTAGTATTATATTGACTCAAATTGTTCCCACATATTTCCGATGTGGGACTCTAACAGTTGTCTTGTGCGTTTATTGTTATTTTTAGACCATGAAATGTCCTAAATGATATTTAATCATAAAACACCGCGTTTAAATCTCACACATTCAATCTAATCCTCGTTTGTCATATCCAATTTGATTAACTCAATCGGTGAAATGGAGAAAAAAAACGTATGTACCGTCCCAATTTCGAATTTCAAGTTGGGTAGAAGAGTGTAATTTCAATCACATACTTTACTTCCGACCTCGTGATTAGTTTGAACCTCAATCCAGGATATCTAATTAATTATCCAAAAAAAATAAATCCTTGTTCGTCTTTAAATCAATGCACGATAAAAGATTGGTCTAAAAAATTACTCTCCGAGGGCAGAATTCGAATGTTTAAAAACATTGAACTGCGTCAATTATTGAGGTTCTTTGTCTCATATTCACACAAATATGTATTTACGTATATATATAAAAATGTTTAGCAGTTAACATAATTCGAGTAAGCTATACCCAACCCTACCAACCACCTTTCCCACGTGACAAAAACAAAGATGGAATATTTATATATATGAGGGTTGACATCATATTATATTATTCATTCAATAAATAATTGTTACGAGCAGCTTGTTCCTTGCATGGCGAAAAAAGTACCCAATTCATACACATCGACGTTCATTAATTACTACCCTGAGTTTGTCCCTAATGAAACCCGTAGCAAATGGACCGATCATGAATCACGCGCATATATAGAGCCAAAATAAATAAATAAATTTCCGTATATGTTTGTAACATGGTGAGTCGATCATTTTCCTTTACGAAAATATATTCAACTTAAACTTGTATAACATAATAAGAAACAAAAAAATTATAGAGATACTAGAAATATAATATATATTATTTTTGAGAGTGATTCTGCTGCTGTTGCTGCTCCGGGACATTGCCATTGAAACAGTCTCCGATTCCGGCAAAGCTGAGAATGTCGGAATGAGACAATGGCCGAAGCCCCAAGAAATCTCTCGTCAACCCTTCTCCTCCTCCGTTCTTCTCTTCCGCCCTCAATAACCCTCCAAAGCTCTCGTCGAAGGCTTCCAACCCAGCCGCCGAATTCGTACTCATCGCGTCGTAGCCTTGAAACATGGACGCAGGTGACGCCATCATCGCCTCCGCCATTGTTGTCGCGAGGTTGAGACTCGAAGGGGTTGTCTTGGTGGGACCCATCTGGGCAGCTCTCTGGAGCAAAGCGGTGGCGGAAATGGCCGGAGACGGAGGAGAGGGGTGGTGAAAGGAGGCGGCGGTGGCCGGACCGAAGGGGAATAAACCGGCGCTAGGGTTAGGGTTTGAGGGTGAGAGCCAAGGAGGGAAGGTTAGCGTGTGGTTAAAGCTACCTTCGTGCTCTTTCTTCATGGAGAATGGATGGGGATTGCTGTCAGTGGAGTAGTTTTCGAGGGTTGTGATGAGATTGTGCGAGGAAGAAGATGATTGGACCATGAGAGGGTTCGGTTGATGAGTTGGAACAGCTTTTGCACTTTCTTCTGCCAATGCATCGCAAAATGCCCTGTGAGTTATGAAACTATCCCTCCTGCCCACAAACAATATATTAACATGTTAATCATATATGCCAAAAGAATGATTAATCAGTATTGGAAATAAGAAATAGTTTACATAATTAATAACGGTAATCAAATTATGATAATTGATCCATCTTTTCGATTCCTTTGAATACATGCATGGGCATTGATAAAGATGTGTGTATGATGTATAGATTCTGAATGAATGGTCACTTGTGCTGTAACAAGAAAGACTAAAAATATACATGCAGATAATATTTGACATGTATATATATATATTGAATAAATGGGCACTACTGCTGTAACAAGAAAGACTAAAAGTATACATGTAGATAAGGTTTGAGATGTATGTGATATATATATATATATATATATTTTGAATAAAAGGGTCACTTGTACTAGAACAAGAAAGACTAAAAATGTACATGTAGATAAAAGTTTGAGATATTGCGAGTTCAAAGAAAATATTGTTATTAGGAAATTTAACTCTCAAGGAGAAAATATTATTATTATAATTAGGAAATCGAGGTTGGATAAATGCAGATGCCAAAAAGGGTTAAAGAAGATAAAGAAATTTAACTCCTTTTGGTTCTCTCCCTACTTTTGTTTTTTCACTTTGGTCATGTGGTCGGTCCATCGAACCATGCAGTCATCGATCCAAGAGATATTTTTATACATATACACACACATACACACATATATAAATGTAACAATGTGTGGGTGTGAGCAAGAAGAGTGATTGATGCAATAAATGTAAGCATCATGAGGCTCTATGAACCCAGAACTTGTTCCACAATAATTGACACTTGCCCGCAATTTAAATGAATATTCTCTGAGCCAATGCAACTCTTGTCCTCTTCAATTAAATGAAAATAATCATATACCCAACATATAATATCTTCGTACAAAGTCTCCATCTGTCCCTCCATTTCATGTAACTACACATCTCATTTTCATTATCAGACACTGTATATATATATATACATACACATATATATATATATATAGTCTAGATCAGTTAAATCCAACATTAGATTATCTTTGACCTAAAGTGTGTGTGTGTTTGTGAATGTGAATGCACAGTGTCGGATGCATGTGACAAGAGAGTTGCTTTTTTTTTTTTTTTTTTTTTTTTTACAAATTCCTTCCCCTAAAATGATTTTGGGAACTGTATATTATTTATAATGGGAAATGTATAAAATGTGAGTATGATTAGAGGTGGATTAGATTAAATTTAAATTTAAATTAAAAAATCGAAATACCTTGAAAATAGAGTGCCGCAGTCACATCTGTACTCTTTGGTGCCACAAGTCTTAGAATGGGCCTTCCAGTCTGACTGGACAGCATACCTCTTGGAACATTTCTCGCATTTCCACTTCTTCTCGCCATGCTTTCTGAAGAAATGCTTCTTGATTCCTGTCAAGTCCCCCAATGCTCTCGACGGGTCGTGATGGACGCAGCTTGGCTCCGGACAGACGTACACTTTCTTCCTCACCACTTCTGTCTTCGATCTTTGTTTCAGCTTCCATGGCAGGTTGTGCCCTCTTCTGTGCAGCTGCAGGTTCTGGTCCCTTTGGAACCCTTTGTTGCAGATCTCGCAAACGAACCTGTTCGTCGCCAAAAGCGTCTTTGGGGACAAAGCTATCACTTCTGCTTCCGGGTCTGGCGTTTTCTCACGTTCCAAACACCACCCAAGAAATTTTGAATGAGACCCATGTCAGAAAATTCAATCTTTTTTACGAAACACTGATAAAGTTCAGATTTTTGTTCGGATTTCTCATCTGGGTTTTTTTGTCTGTTTCATCTTTAAAAAAAAAACTACAAAAGGAACAAGAAAAAGGAGAAACGAATATTCTTTTTTTTTAATCAATCAGGCCCCTAGTTTCCGAGAACCATAATTTCAACCAAAAAAAAAAGAACGATAATTTCAAAGACGAACACAGTATCAAATAATTCAACTAGGTCAGTGCAAAAAGCCACTGAAAATGGAGAGATGATATATAAACCTGGATTGCCTGGTTGGTTTCTTTTCTTCTTGGGTGGCTGAGATGATTGAGCTTGTGGCTGTTGAACAAAATACTGCAGTTGTTGTTGTTGTTGAGGATTGACAAAGTTCGATCCGCTTGCTTCAGTTCTGTTGTTGCCTGAAGACACGCTTGCTTGATCCCCAGATGCAGATGTAAGATTCGACATGTTATCCTCTGCAACCACTTGCTGCTGTTGCTGTTGTTGATGATGATGAAATAACACGTCTTTGTTCATCATCATCCCCTCCCCTCTCATCCGCAAAACCTTGAAGGAAACAGATAAAAGATCCACAAACCCTTTTTTCAGATCTATGTGTGTATGTAGATGTGCGACATACATGTAAAAGAGGGATGAAAGGAGCCAAAGGGAAGATCAAGCAAAGGAAACATACAAGAAAAGGAACCCATAATTCTCCATCATCACCGTCATAAATATACAGATACATACATATATATATATATATATATATATATAGTCCTTGGCTTCAACCCAAGAGACAATCTTAATTTGCTCACTTCCTTTGAGGGAAGAGATGAAAACAAAGGCCCTCAAAAAGACAACCTTCTTTCTTGTGTCTGAGAGTTATAGAGAGATGACAAAATTTCTGCTGAAATTAAAACAAGATTTTCTCCATCCACTTTTTCTTGTTCATGTTCGAAAAATATACAAAAATCTTTAGGGTTGATACATACATACATATATATATATATATATATATAGTTGATAGCTTACTCGACTTCAAAAACCAACAACCCACCAAGAAAATCCAATAATAATTAACAGAACATATGAACAAGAACAAGAAATACCAAACAAGTATAATACCTCGAAGCCCAGAGAGAGAGAGAGAGAGAGAGAGAGAGAGAGAGAGAGAGAGAGAGAGAGAGAGAGTGTGGTGGCGAGAGAAACTCTATTATCTTTGTGATATTTGAAATGAAAGGAGAGGAAAAAAAAAGGAAGAAACCCTACCGCTAAGGGAAAAAAACTCTTCAGATGTTGGCATTTTCTGTCTTAATTTTTCCTTTTTTTTTTAATTGCCTGCAAATGTTTTTCTTTAAATTTTTTTCCCAAATTTAAAATTAAAATCCGCTTGCTGGAAAAAACATCATTATATGGTTATTGTTTTTTTTGTCGTCAAGTATTTTTCTTTATAAGAAAAAATATACTTTCTCACTGTTCTGTGAAAAGCTTTGCAGAAAGAGATCATTGTATAATTTGTACGTTTCTCGAGAAGACGACATGTTTGAATTTGCTTCGTACTCTATTTGCCTAGGAGTAATAAATCCTACTAAACTACTATATTTTTTCATTTATTTTAAAAATCCATAATCATTAGATAAATTATTAATATTAGTAATAATACGATAAAATTTTTTTTTTAAAAAAGTATTAGTTTGAGCTTATAAGGAGTATATAAAAAAGTTAATGAAACATTTCCATTAATTTTATATAAATTAATTTAAAATAAATTATTACCAATGCTATCAATTTAGACATCTTTATATATACACACATATACACACTCGTGGATAAGTGTGTGTGAATCTCACGGCTTTACACTACTAAGAATGATTGAGCCATTGATTAATTGAGAAGAGGTTTGTGCATATTGGCTTCAAAGTTACCTTTTTGTATTGTTTTTTCGTTTGATGCTTTTTATAAAAAAAAAAGAAAAGAAAAGGAGAAAAGAGTAAATTATTATCTCAATTCATCATATTTTTTTCCCACATGCTACTTTATGATTTTACATGGAGGTATGGATATATAATCATTGACAAAATTTGCATTTTTTTGGAACCCTTTAATATTTAAAATTGCCCCTTAATTGCATATTAAATCAACAAATCAATACAAGCGCGCGCGCACACATATATACATATATAGGATATTATTATATAGACTATCATCTTATTAATTAGGTGGTGCATGGACAGATAACAAACATTTTTATATCTATTATTAACACGTGGAATATATATATACATCTCTCGCACGAATATGATATGCAAGCTATAATTCCGCGAAAAGTTTTCATGACAAAGAGCTCTTTGGGTTGGTTATATTTCTATTTTTATTTAATTTGTCGAGCTTGTGCTAATATATATTCTTATGTAACCAAGTTAAATAAATTGAGGATATGATGAAATAGAAAAATGAATATGTGAGTGGAGAAAAATATAGATTTTGAGATATTATTTTCAATAACAATATTATGTCAAATATTATGTATCATATTTGTTTCCTTTATATTTATATTTCTTTGTTAATTTATTTATTAATTTTTCTATAAATATGTAAATTATTTTCAATTTTTCATTGGAATATAAAAAGAAAAAGAAGAAATGCAGCCAAAAAAAGTATTTGTTTTTTTTTTCTCTTATGTTATTTAAATTCCGCAATTTCATATTTCAACATATGGTATATCAATCGTAATCGGAGTATTACTTATAACGCGTGTTGTATTGTTTGTCTAGTGTGTTATTAGAGTTATATACAGAATATCATTAAGATTATTGGACTATAGTGTATACATTATTGTATATACGTTAGTGTGATGTGTATATATATATGTATACACTTGATAGTTACTCGTAAAATATGGGATATGGGCCTCAAGCCAATAAAAGCGATGCAAATAGGTCAATAGACATGAGAGGATAAAGAACAAAAATGTAATCAATTGTTGACTCAAATCTTGGACTTAAAAAAAAACTTACCTTACATTATAATTTGTTTATTATTGATAAGAATAAATATAACCCATATAGTGTAATACGTTCTACTATTTTATTACACAACGGCCACTGTAATGTGAGGTAAAAAAAAAAGGTGGCAGAGTAAAATTCACCGGTTCAAAATTTTAAATTTCATTACTTAATTTGAGGAATTATTTTCTGCAAGTAATGAGAGGTAGGAGGGAATCTCACCTCACCTTCGGTGATACAGACAAACTGACAGCGACAGGTCGAGGAGGCCGTATATACAACACCGACAAGTACACGTGGAGGGATCTGATTGGACTGTATCCGAAGCAGTAACGCAAGCAACCATGTTGTTTAATTTTAATGAAAGTCGGTCCCTTTGACTCGCCTGCGACCCGAGCCGCTGACTCAGCGGACACCCTGCCTTCCATGTTATCCGTTTATCGTCTCTCTCCTCCATACCCAAAACGTCGCCGTTCTCTGCCCTCCTTCCACGCTGTACTCTGACATAACCGAACCGGTCCTCGATACCCGGTTAAGAAATGAAAGCATGAACCGAAATTGCGATGCCGGTTGTCGGAGAAGGAGGGAAACGCCGTCGTTTTGATCATTGTCCCTCATCACGCTGCAAGCGCTTAGCCCCAAACTCATAGACTAATGCTGCTAAGGGCCCAATAGGCCCATTAGATTACCTATGTTATTACAAAAAAAAACCTAATATAAAAATACAAATTTGATACCTCGTATTAATTCATAAATTTTAATTTCTAGAAAAATATACATAAACTTTTTTTCGATTCGTAGTTCAAATCATAATTGTTTTTAGAAAAGTTCAAATTTACGCGTAATTTCACAATAACTCCCATAAAACTAGACCATAAATGATCTGCATTTTTTTAAAAAAAAAATTATGATTTTAACCTAGTGTTTTCTGTGAATTCTAAAATTCGTATATTGATTTAAAAATGGGTAATATGATATATTCCCTTAAAACCCTAAACACAAAATACTATATTTTCGGACCATAAATACTATATGATATAATAATTTATTAGTTCCAATAGAAATACACGACCGTTTTGAACTTTTGATAAATCTAACAAACCGGTGGTTATAATTGTACCAAAAGTAAATCTCTGGATAAAGTAAAGCCATTGATTTATGTATTTTTTTTTTTAAATTATTTTGGGAGGAATTCTACTTGGAATTGAATTATTATAAAAATAAAGCCAAACCCGGTATACTGCGAGATACTATCGTGCATGCACATAAGAGATGTCGTCAATACGTTATCATAAAAACGATTTTTCATATTTAGAAGGAAGAGAAAAAACATAGTTTATATTCACATGATCCAAATATACAATCGAGATGAGATGGGAAGCCTATCTATTACACAAATGCTTATATTTTATTATTTCTTTGCATGTATCCAAAATCTCAATTATTGTATCAAAATCCGGATCGAAAAATTGGGTCGACTCTGCTTTCTTTATTATTTCTGTCTATATATAGATGCATCCATGCACATCGATTTTTGTTTTTTTTGTTATTCTATAATTAGGTTTTTTCCATTTTATAAAATTATTTTTTTCAAATATTTATATAAATTATTTGGCTCAATTTCGTTTTTACTAAAAATATATAGATTTTCATGATCAATTATATATTCCGTTTGTATTCAGTTAATTTAATTTTAAAAGCATTAAATCATTCAGTTTTAAAGTAAAATCTAATCAAAATAAAATATAATATTTGAAGGTTATAGCCTACATATAAATATGTATATTAAAAAATAGATGTGTAGATTAAAAGATATTTCTATTTATTAAACCCGTAACTAACTGGACATAGAGTCAACGTGATGCCGTGATAATCGAATATTCTATTAAATTAAAATAGACAAGCTTATTAATAGAAATCGACTGCTTATGCGAAAAAAATAGGAAAATTATAAGTCATTTAAATATATATATATTTTTAATACAAAGGAGATATTTAACCCATTTACAATCTCCGTGATCTCATGATACCCATCGTATCAGCTAATAAAAAATTTTCTAACTCTCGTGGAGGTGTATCTAACTATATAAAACCGTTAGACCCTGAAAAAGCTTTCTTAGCCAAGAAATCTGAACACATATTTGCCTCACGGAAGATCTTTCGAATGTTCACTTCCCAATCATTCTTCAAAAGTGAACATTCGATCGCTTTCAAACGAAAAGGTAGCTCTATATCCCGCGTTAAAACTTCGATCGCTTTCAATGAATCAGTTTGTAGTTCCATCTTCTTCCACCCATGTCGCCACCCTTGTTCCAATGCATGGTAGATGCCCCAAACTTCGGCCTCCATGGCATCACAATCACCTAGCTTTTGTTGATATCCACCAATCCAATCACCTGAAATTGTTCGAAAAACTCCTGCACATCCTACTTTTCTTAGGCGACTTGCTCCACTGCCATCTGTATTGACCACAACTGCATCAACAATTTTCGGATCCCATACTATGAACTTTAGTACATAAGTCATTTAAATATTACATGAACATATCATGAAGAGAAAATGACATATATGGGTTTTTCGCATGTTCTAATGTATCATCATTATTTATTTAATATCAAATTAATCATCAAAATTTAATTAAGATAAAGAAAATATTAAGGTAAGGCTCGATTTCATCATATATATATATATATATATATGTGTGTGCGCGCGCGCGCGCGCGCGTGTAAAAAACATAATACTCATAATATAAAATTGAAATCATTGTAAATTTTTTAAAAATAATGCGAAGGAGACTTACGTACGTTGCAGCTTCTATGGTCGGTCTTATGCCAAAATACTAGAAACTTGTACCGATAGGAATCCAATCATGACTTTTCCACATGTCCAGATTTATCATAAAGTTTTAAATTTCGAGTGTTTTTCTTAATATTCCAAAAAAATCTGTATTCAGAAAATTTCTTATCAGAAATATTTAATAATATGATAAAAATACAAATATTATTTTGATTTGTAGAAAAATGCATATAATAATACTATATTTCATTAATTAGTTTAAATAACCAAGCGATTAGGATACTATATATTCATTTATATGTATCATAGATTATGAAAAAAATGCAAGTTAAATGTGAGCCATTATAATTTGATATAGTTACAAAATATGTAAAAAAAGAAGAAGCAAACATTTAATTGCCTAACTAAAATTGGTATGCCTTGATGAAGGGAAAAAAATCTAAAAATAATATGAATATCTACATGAATATAATGTTCTGTTTTTACAAGTTACTAGAATAATCTCTCTCTAATAAGAAAGCATCATAATATATAACTTCTCATTGGAAAAAAAAACACAAATATTAAAACCAATTTGTTTTGAAATGTTTGAAGTCGTTATTTATAATAATATTTTCTTTGGCAAAAGGATAATTGTAATAACCAGATAAAGATCAATTATATCTTAATTAACTTAGCTTAACTAGTTCTAGTTATTATCAAAAGGAAAGAGAGAACGAGATGAACCATCATTTAATGACGACTCGATGGAAACACTATAGGAAATGGTAGGAGGTGCCGAAAAAACGATGCCTAGCCCAAGGATGGAGTTTTTGCTAGGGCAGCCTAAAACGATAATCTATGTAATGATTTGATTTCACCATTAATTATTATATATATATATATATATATATATATATTAAAAGATGCCAAGAATACTCAACTATAGTAGATGGATATGCGTAAAGAATGTTTTACCTCAGGTTCAAATTTTACCCTTGGCAAATCACATATTATAAAAAAAATATATTAAAGGAATCAATTTTATATAATATTCATTATATGAATTTATATTATAATATGAAATATGAATTTCACATTTGATGTTGACATTTCCATCGCCTATAAATTAGATCTCTCTCCATTTCCTCTTAAAAAAAAAAGAGAAAAAAGGAGCGAGGGCATAACACAAATGGCCAAAGACATTGGCTTAGTGGTGCTCTTGTCATTGTTATTACTTGGTAACTATGTTGTCAATCTTGAAGCCTCACATCATCATCATCATGTTTACAAGAGATTTCAGAGCTCGAAAGCCAAATCTCCTCCGCCAAACCAGCCCTACCGGACCGGTTATCATTTCCAACCTCCAAAAAATTGGATGAACGGTACAAACCGGTTTTACCCATCTCCCGATTTCGTTGGTTTTCTGTTTTTTTTTTTTCTTTTTATGTTTTATGTATGTCTCTCTTCTAACATCTGTTTTTTTTGGTTCGTTTGACTTATTGGCTTCTGTTGGTGAATCCTAATGGTTGGAGATGCGACTTGCGAGCAGATCCTAATGGTTGGTCCTCTAATTTAAATATTTTCTTATGCTTTCTCATAAGTATTTTCCTTCAATAATTTCTTATATAACCTTTGTTTCCTTACATGCATATGTCAATTTGAGATGCTATATTTAAGTGTTTTCTATTAAAATTGAATGAGACACATTGGCACGAAACATGTTAATCATCATTGTCGTCATGTCTGTTCTTGGGTCAACTCAAAACATGTTACATATATATATATATATATATATATATTCTATTTGATGGTCAGTATTGTCATGATGATATGCATCATACATACATTAGATTGTGTCATCATCGCCATCTTATATTATTTTCTATGTGATGGTCAATGTTGTAATGTTATGTCATGATATGCATGCATCATACATACTACGTATAATATCATACACATATACACATACGCTAATTATTTGTGTATGTATGGATTATATGTGCAGGACCAATGTTATACAAAGGAATATATCACCTCTTCTACCAATATAACCCAAACGGCGCCGTTTGGGGGAACATCGTGTGGGGCCACTCCACGTCGACGGACCTCGTCAACTGGGTTCCACACCCTCCGGCGATCTCTCCTTCGGAGCCGTACGACGCCGGAGGCTGCTGGTCCGGCTCCGTCACGATCCTCCTCGATGGCAAACCCGTAATTTTATACACCGGAGTCCACGGCACCGACAACATCCAAACCCAGAACCTGGCCGAGCCCACGAACCTCTCCGATCCATTTCTCCGGCAGTGGTCCAAGTCGCCAGCGAATCCCCTCATGGCTCCGACCGCCGCCAACAGCATCAACGCCACCTCCTTCCGTGACCCCACCACTGCATGGCTCAGCCTAGACGGAAAGTGGCGCGTAATCATTGGTAAAATATATGGTTAAACTCTAATAGATAGTGGATTCCCAATCCGGGGATTAGTCTGACATTTGGTTTATATATATATAGTTATACATATATATACTACACATGGATAACTTGTTAAAAATCAATATTTACAGAAAGAAAATAATTATTTTTTTTCAAACTACATTTAGTGGGGTATTATATAAAAAATACTCTTACTTTATTATTTTTACTTCAATACATACCATTTTTTAGCTGTGATCGTGTAATCCATGCGACCCCAAATATAATGTGGTCATATTTTGATCCCATTGTTTATAACGTTAAATTTATAATGTTTTCATCAAATGATTAGTAAGATATATAAGGTATGAACATAATAAATTAGTGTGACCACCCTAAATTTAACGTTATAATCAATAAAATAAAAATGTGACCACACTATATTTTGGGTCACATGGTCACAACTGGAGAAAGATATGTGTTGAAGTAAAAATAACAAAACATGGTATTTTTGATATAATGTTCATTTAGTGGGTCATTCCGATATTTTTTTTCAGAAATATCCAAGTTCTATCAAAAGTATTTTAATTAGTCAATAGTTATTTTCTTTCAATCCTTTTGATAGAATCCGTAAAATTTGGGTGGTACGTAGTTTGGATAACTTATGAAAAATGATTTTTTTTTGTATACTACACATATAATATTGATGCTTACGGTCCAATCATGGTATTTACTTGAGTTATACATGTTTCAATCCTTCAAATTAAACGTTTTTTGTCCCAATAATATATTGATAATGTCTTAACGATAATTTTTCACAATATAGGTAGCAAGATCGACCGCCGTGGACTAGCGATTCTCTACACGAGCAAAGACTTCGTCAACTGGACCGAGTCGCCGGAGCCGTTGCACTCCGACGACGGAACCGGAATGTGGGAATGTCCGGACTTTTACCCGGTGGCCAGGTTCGGTTCGTTGGGCGTCGAAACGTCGTCGTTTGGTGGTCCTCCGTTAATTAAGCACGTGCTGAAAATGAGCTTGGACGACACGAAGCACGATTATTACACGATCGGGACGTACGATCGTGTCAAGGACGTGTACGTTCCGGACAAAGGGTTCGCACAGAACGGTTCGGCTCCGAGGTACGATTACGGCAAATATTACGCGTCGAAGACTTTTTACGATCCTTTGAAGAATCGGAGGGTCTTGTGGGGTTGGGTCAACGAGTCGTCTCCTGTGGTCAACGATGTGGAGAAGGGCTGGTCCGGTCTCCAGGTAAATAATATTCCGTAACATTTTATACAAGTTTTATAAGGGTATTGTTATAAATATGTATTAGGGCTTTACGTAATGCATTTTTCCTCGGTCCAAACGTTATCTAAAATGTGATTAATGATAACTTTATGACATGAAACTAATCACACGTTACCTAAAATACGTAATTGTTATACTAGGATGTGTTGTAAACGGAGATGAAACCAACATTTGAAGTGAAGTGTAATTAAGAAGAAGAAAAGAACAAAATCTAGTTTATTGTTATATCTATTTGCGTATTTATAATAATAATTATTGAAAAAAAATAATGAAAAGAAAGTATGGAAAAATAAGATATGATAAAAAACTAAATGAAAAATATCTAATATTGATTGGCTGATTTATTTGATTTGAGATAATTTGTAAAATAAATATGCTTGTGACAAAGAGGATAGGTCAGAACAATTTTTTTCATTTTTATCGATTCATTTATTTCTAAATAATTTCAATCTTTCCAAATTATCTCCAAATTCCTCATCAATCCGAAAACTTCATCTTGTCATTGATTTCACTATGATTAGTCGGCGATTGAATCAATTCGTTGTTAATTATCGATCGGCATTGATAATTTTCGCAGGCGATTCCGAGGAAAATATGGCTCGATAGATCGGGAAAGCAGTTGATTCAATGGCCGATTAAGGAGATTGAGAAATTACGTGCGACACAAGTCAAATGGCCGTACAAAGTTCTTGAGGCTGAATCTGTCCTTGAAGTTTCTGGCATCACAGCCTCACAGGTTCCATTATTTTTTTATTAAATTTTTTATTTTGTATTAAAAAATTAACAATATTTATTTGAATTTATAACATATTAATTTGCAATGCACATTTGTGATTTGTGGTAATGACTGACAGGCCGACGTAGAGGTTTCGTTCAAAGTGAGAGGCCTGGAGAAGGCAGATGAAATAGAACCGGATTGGACCGACGCGCAATTGATATGCAGTGAACAAAATGAATCGGTTAAGGCCGGTTTAGGGCCATTCGGTTTAATGGTTCTCGCATCAAAGAGCTTGGAAGAGTACACATCTGTCTATTTCAGGATCTTCAAGGCCCACAATGATAGTAACAAGTATGTCGTCGTCATGTGCAGTGACCAATCCAGGTACATTCAAATATATACATATATATATATATATATATAATCAAGAACCCTAATAGATGGCCATTGAGATATATATGTATATATATATGTGTATGTAATGGTGATGTTTGTTTTGGACAGATCTTCCTTGGAGCAAGAAGATAACGACAGAACAACTTATGGTGCTTTTGTTGATATCGACCCTTTTCTCCAACCACTCTCTCTCAGGACATTGGTAAGTTTTCCGCATTAAAACTCAAAGAGAAATTTGTTAGAATTCGTATATCCAAATTATATTAGTGAAATGTACGGATTTTTAAAATATAATATTTTGGCCGATTTTATTCCCTGATCTAGAATTTTAAAATTAGAATTTTGCTTACGATCGAAATTAAGAGTTTTTAGTATGAGACATATTATAGCTAGTGAGAAGATTTCAAGAGCTAAACAGTGTATAAAATTAAGGTTATTTATAATAATAAAAAAAAACAAAGAAGAAGATAAAAATAATTATTGCTTGTTATTCAATTCGACATCTCATTCTTAGGTGTTTTTTTTATATCATCACACAATCATTATTGTTTGTTATTGACAATTCTCCAAAGTGTGATTTTTTAAATCATAAAAAAATTAAACATAACATTACTTGTTAGTAGTTATAGTAACATGATAATAAAAAGGTCATAAACTTAATTAAGTATATATATATATATATATATAAATAGATGAATGTGTGATTTTCCCCCCTATGAATTATAGATTGACCATTCGATAGTGGAGAGCTTTGGAGGGAGAGGGGAGGCATGCATCACAGCAAGAATCTACCCGAAACTGGCGATTGGAGAAGAAGCTCATCTCTATGTCTTCAACAATGGCCGCCAAAGCGTTCATCTTTCAAGCCTGAGTGCTTGGACCATGGCCACTGCCCATATCAACTGATCTTCTTATCTATCTATCTATATACACTCATACACACACCGTGAGAAATACTTTCGTGATATTATTAAGTTTTTACAATAGACCTACATATAGACTGATACATGTGAGAAGAATAAGGAAGAATGGGAGAGAATCATGCACAAGATTACAATTACGTAACAGAGGTCCTATAATATAGGAGTTTCCTCTTTTGTGAAGATCGCAATCTGTAACACTTCTAACATGCTCCCTCAAGACGGAGCCGAGACGATTCTGATCTTGACGCAGAGTTCCTGAATGATGAGCATGGTAATGGCTTGGTTAGAGCATCGACAAGTTGATCTTTCGAGCTGACATGTTGAACACGGAGGGAGTCGGTAGTGACATGATCACAAACAAATAGATAATCAAGGGCCAAGTGTTTCATTCGGGAATGAAACACGGGATTAGCACTTAGATATGTGGCTCCAATGTTGTCGTAATAGATGGTAGACGGTGTCGGCAGTGTGATCCCAAACTCGGAGAATAGCGAGGTGACCCACGTATATCTCGACGGACGTATTGGCTATTGAGCGGTACTCTGCCTCGGTCGAAAAGCATGAGTGTCCAGCAAGTTTCTTCGATGACCAAGAGATCGGGTGCTTACCAAGATAAAAGATAAAGGCTCCGGTAGACTTGAAGTCACCGGGATCACCCGCCCAATCGGCATCACTAAAGGCATGAAGGGAGAGAGGGTTCTTTGTCGAGAAGAAGATACCGGTATTACGTGTTCTGGAAAGGTAGCGTAACACACGCTTAGATGCTGTCCAATGTGCATCGGTGGGTGCATGCATAAATTGGGATAGTTTGTTGACGGAGAAGCTAATGTCTGGTCGAGTGAGGTTCAAGTACTACAGGTTGCCTATAACAGTCCGGAATTCTGTTCGGGTAAGGGGGAGTCAGACCAAGAGTTAGCCTCGAGGTGAAGGCCATTGGAGTTGAAATCGGCTTGCACTCGAGCATATTTGTCCGGTGAAGAAGTTCTGTAATTGCGTTGACTTAGAAAAAGGCCTTGTGGGTTCCTTGTTACTTCAACTCCAAGAAAATATGATAGCTCCCCTAGATCCTTGAGTGAGAAGTGACCAGCTAGTGTTGTGATAAACTCGTGAATGTGATGAGAGGAGCTTCCGGTAAAAATAATATCGTCAACATAAACGAGCACATATAGACAAGCATCATCGGTATTGAGCATGAACAAAGATGCATCGACCAATGAGTTTAAGAAACCACAAGCTAGAACAAAATCACGAAGCTCTGAATACCATGCACGTGGAGCTTGTCAAAGACCGTAGATAGCTTTCGGAGTTTGCAAACAAACGAGGGCTGATCCTTGTCAATAAATCCGGACGGTTGGCTCATGTATACCTCATCGGAAAGTCGGCCTTGTAAAAATGCATTATTGACGTCAAGTTGTCTTATCTTCCATTCATCTTTTGTGAAGATCGCAATATGTAACACTTCTAACACACACTTGTTGTAATGTTATGTCATGATATGCATGCATCATACATACTACGTATAATATCATACACATATACACATACGCTAATTATTTGTGTATGTATGGATTATATGTGCAGGACCAATGTTATACAAAGGAATATATCACCTCTTCTACCAATATAACCCAAACGGCGCCGTTTA